AGATAATCCAAATTGTTGGAATTTAAGTTTTCAAAATATTTTTTTTGTAATCCAGTGGGTTTCAGCAGTGTCCATTGTGATTCCAGCCCAGGAATTCAGTGGTACTTAGGGCTCAGTGGAGAAGAGCCCTGCTGTGTGGAAGCCCTTCGGCAGCATGTCAAGGGCAGCCAAAGGAGCCAATGCAGGCACAGAGCTCAGTGGTGTTTGGTGAATGGTGGGAGAACACCTGCTTCAGCACCTTTTCACAGCTCCCAGACCCCACCAGTGACAACTACTGCAAGCCCCAGCAGTTCTTACTATCCCATAGATCCCTCAGTGTCTGGTTCCAGGTGCCTGTCCAATACCATGTCTTTTGCTCCTCTCTGTCCCTAGGGCTGGTAGGTCTTAACTCAGTCACTCCCCTCTGCCTGATTGTCTGGCTGGCACTTTCCTTAGTGTGCTGATCTAAGGAGACACACCTTCATGACTGTCTTGTTCATTAGGCTCCATTTCCCATTGGTAGGAGTTAAGATAGGTGGAACCTGGGTGGTGACTGCCAGATTGGACACCAGTCAGTAGCCCAGCAGCTGCTCTTTCTCTAGGATTCTTCCCTTGGGAGGATCTGAACTTTTTCCAAAATAGCGTGTTCTCTAGACCTGGGAAGTAAGAAGTGCTAGGATCAAGTAGTGCCCTACATCTTGTTCTAAACACCCGTGTTGATGGATTTCATCTACTGGACATCTCCTTCAGCTTGCCTTCCCATGATCAGTATTTGTTTGCTGTTCCGCCACTATCATCCACGTACCTGAAGACCTTGATGAGGGGCTTCTAAGTGTCGTATGAGTGCTGTTGCCTCTCCAGTCACTTTTTTACTTTATTTTTCCCACTGGTTTTAGGTTCTTAATTTTCAATGATCATAATTGAACATCTATCATAGGCTAAGCTGTGGAAGACAGGAAGACAGGTTTTCACAGGGGAAACACCTAAATATTGGAAGAAATAGGTGCATGGATAGTGATAAGAGTAAGCAATCCAAATGAATTACAATTAATTACAAGTAGTTCCAGAGAGGGAGAGAACATGGGCTGGTTAACTGGGAGATGCTTCATAAAGAAACCTGATAAATATAAGCTGTTTTCATAAATTAGATTCATACCTTTAAATCATTCTATCTAGAGGTCAGAAAATATATGGATCTCTTCTCATACATGAAGTGATAATCCCCAGGTGAGCAAGAAAAACACATAAGGCATATAAAGCAAGGAGGCTTGGGGCACATCACAACCAGGACTTATGCTATATATCAAAACAGAACCAAATAAAGGATAAAGTTTCCTAAAACTAGATAGAAGGCTACTGAGCAGAGGAAGAGACAAAACAAAACTGACCATCAGAGAAGGGACCATTTTCTCATGGACAACATAGCCTTTTCCCCAATCTCAAAATGTACCGAAGGTGTGCTATTTTCCTTCTCTCCCTCTAGGTGATATTTGTTCGGGAAAAGAGCAGTGGCCGACTAATCATCGATGGTCTTCGAGTCCTAGAAGAAAGTCTTCCTCCTAGTAGAAAAGCATGGAAAATTAAGGGTCCCATTTATTTGGGAGGAGTGGCTCCTAGAAGGGCTATGAAAAATGTCCAGGTAAAGTATACATGATAAGGTAGAGTCATTCCTCTTTAGAGCTGGGAGATTACTATTAATCAGCTTCCCCATCATGGAGTTATAAAACCCAACACCCACAACATAAGGAAGACAAAGTTTCATTTGGCTCATGGTTTTGGAGAATTTAACCATGGTCAGATGACTCCAAGGCAGAAACAACATGGCGGAGGGGCATGGTGGAGCAAAGCTACTTGGTTCCTGGTGGCTGGGAAGCAGAGCAGGTTACAGTACCAGAGAAGAATGGGGTGGGGCTATATAGAGTACCCAAGGTTGCCTCCCTGCCCGACCCACCCAATCCAATGAAGTTGACAGCCCACAATTGACAGTCGCAATACTTAATGCAGGACCTCATAATTTAGAAAATAAAATTTTTACTAGAGATGGAACATCAGAGTGAGTTTTGTCTATAAGCTGCCTGGCTGCCCTGGGGCATTACAAAATCAGGAGTAATCTTTTGATTTTAAGATACAAGAGAGATTTTAAAAATTTTCAGAGGTATAAAGTGTCATAAAAGGTATATCTCAAAGAAATCTTATTTGTTCAACAGGTATCTATACCTCTAATATAAAGAGATCAAAATCAGAAAGCACATTTTTCCATTATATTGTAATTTAAAACAAATGTTTCAGGTCATTATGTAAACTACAACTACATTTTTGTTTCTTACACTCACAATTTGTAAATGTGCAAGGAGGACAGCAACCACAGGGGAGAAATGAAAAGATTGTAAGAAATATTATTTTTATACTTTAAAATTAAAAATAATTTACCTTTATAGCTAACAGGAAAATAAGGTATAAAAGGAATGTTTCTTAATATATAGATTTAGTACAAAGTATTAATGCATTTCTAATATCTATTAACATTTTAAGCAAAAACGTGGTTCACATTGTAATTAAATTTTAGGTAAACAGCCCCAATTCCTGTTTTTAAAATGCAGTATGAAATTAGTTATCTAAAGTAGCCCAATTTTCAATCCTATGGTATAAATTCTCAACTGTAATAACAGGTGATGAAGCCAGAAATACAAGTTTTCTGGTGTTTATTTCGATTTAAGAGTTTTGCTAACTCTCATCATTAGTGATCTTGGACACAGCTGTCATTTCTTAAGGAAAACAAACTATAATACTTTCAATATTTCATTTGAGAACTACAGCTGCAGTTTACTTTGTCATGATATATGTAAAAATGTGTACAGCTTAATTATGACAAATTGATACTACCGAATACAAAATTCCAGGCTCAAAGAACTAGTTAAACATAATTACCTGGAGATGTATTGATCATTCAGATAGCTAAAATAACTAAGGATTACTTGGTTTCTCTCCAGACTCAAACCTTGTCATTTTGTTTCTCCGTAGTGCAGCTACTGAGAACATGGATTTTAAGAAAAGTATTCTTCTTTCAGATTAATTCCATCTACAGTTTCAGTGGCTGTCTCAGCCATCTCCAGCTCAACGGGGCCTCTCTCACCACTGCTTCTCAGACGTTCAGCGTAACACCTTGTTTTGAAGGTCCAATGGAAACAGGAACTTATTTTTCAGCAGAAGGAGGATACGTGGTTCTAGGTAACATGCCTGTGGTGATTTAAATCTTCATCACCTAATGTTTGTGCTCACTTGCCCTTCTACTTTCACTGTGCTTCCAGCTTTTGGAGCTGAGACTAATAAATCTCTCTCTTTTTTAATAAATCACTTAGTCTTACATATTCTGTTATAGTAACAGAAAAGACTAAGACACTGGCTTATGTTGAAAATATGAATCATGCCATACTTTTCCCCCTAGAGATGGCTAACAAGAAATATTAAGCCCAGAATGAAAACTTAATAGGATCAAAGTCAGCCCTGGACGGTCACCTCTTTCCCCAAGGACCACCTCTCTCCTTCTACTGCTCCAAATGAAATATGCGTTCTCCATCCCTGTACGTTCTCCCTGACAGAACTTCCCTATAGCTGCCAAACTTCAGGAGGCAGGCCACATTGGCTCTATTAGGACCTTCCTTCACTGTTCTGTGGCCTGATAAATGGCAGATGTCCATTACCTTGCTCCTTCTTAGCATGACCATCCTCTCCACTAAAGAAATTTCCATCTCCTTCCCCCACCTTGCAGTACTATCACACAGCACTATCCTTCAGGGATCTTACTTCTGGATTTTTGTACTCCTCAACAATTACTCTTTATTCCACAGTTTTTATTGTATGCTTCTTGTACAGCAGTTCCTACACCAGATGATGAAATAGGTCTGAGAATAAACAAAATCCTAGCAGCCTGCACACACTCATTGTCCAATTCATTCTGATAGACATTCTGCAGAGCAGTCAAAATGTGTGAAGAAGGAAGCAGAGTGTTAGGAATGAGGATAGGGAAAGAATATAAAACCACATATTCCCTGAACTCAAGGCATTCATGTACTTTGCAGAACCCTGGATGAAGAAATTACAATTCATACAAACCAAGTATACGTTCTTGAACAACCATGCTTGTCCAAAAAAATGCACAGAAGAAATTTTTGTCTAGCTCATTTTACTTCCTTTCCCTGCCCCACCTCCCTTCTCTTAGCCCCTCACTAAATGACTGTGATAAGAACTCTTAAGAGTTTGGACAGATTGAAATGTAGAATGGACTGTATGACTTATGTAATATTCCATAAATATTAACTAAAAGCAGGAATATCTTCAAATGATTTATAAAGAGATAGGTCAAGTGGACACTATTAAGATGCACAGGCTTACAATGAGCCTTTTGGAGTGAACACAGCTGTTCACAGTAAGAATTATTTTGGATCCCCATGATAACAGCTCTTTCTCCTCTGAAATATTTGTAGCAGTGGCACTGGTTAGATTTTTGTTGAAGAATTATTTTATGATACAGATTTGCTCAAGTCGGCTCTCTTGCTCATGACCTAGTGAAATAAAGGCTGACTTCACTCTTGGTCACTGGGCCCTCCCTGTGTGATTCCCAGCCCCCACACCCCTTCTGCCATTGCAGGATCTGCCCAGTCAGTGTTTTACCTGCTCTCCAGGTGCCTCCATCTCCAAACTCCTCTCTGCTCAGACTGCCCTGTCCTTTTCTCACTTTTGAAATAGAAATTGTGCTGCTGGTTGAAATTCATTTATCTTCCCCTAAATCCATCCCCATGATCTGTAGTGCAAGGGATATGTTCCTTCATTGCCTTAGTCACCCACAGAGTTTTCTATGACACATTTACTATGAAAACTGGCACTTTGTATGTAATGTGTTGTGAAATGGCATCAAACAGAATTACAAAATCACACCATGGTTACAAAATCTATTTTGCTCCCCTTGAGAGTTTATCATATTTATCTCCACAGATGAGTCCTTCAATATCGGGTTGAAGTTTGAAATTGCATTTGAAGTCCGTCCCAGGAGCAGTTCTGGAACCCTTGTCCATGGCCACAGTGTCAGCGGGGAGTACCTAAATGTTCAAATGAAAAATGGGCAGGTAGTGTCTTAAAAAACATAAGTCTGTCCCATCTAACCTGATCAAAAGCAGATTTGTTTCACAGAATTGTATCATCAATCTTTCTAAGTGGAAAAATAGGTAAGCTGTAACATGAAATTTAAATGTGGGCAGTAGTTGGATTTACATTTGTATGTTGGGAGTTGATTTGATTAGAAAAAAAAAAGTCATAGAAATAAGGTAAAGCTAGCAAAAAAGATCACCAATAACAACATGAGTAGTTTAACAATTAGAGCAAAAATATTCAATTATCAAAATCAACAAACACAAAAACTTTTAAATGTTTATCAGATAGATGTATTCCATATATAAACATAATTCCCAAATAGTATAAATAAAAAAATATATAATTAAACCAATTTACTCTAAAATGTTAGGGAATATTTGTGAAAAGGCTAGTTTTCACTATGCCTCAAACTTAAACCTGAATTTTATTTAGGTTCTAATGTATTCTCTTAACCCTGCAACAATAAAGCTTTTCCTTCCATGGTACTTACATTACTGTGTGTCGTGTGGTATTCTAAATGCTTGACATGGATTAACTCGTTTTGTCCTCCCAATATTTCTAGGAATAGGTAACATCTCTCTGATTTTACAAATGCAAAAACTGAAGCAGAAAATAAGAGAAATCAGAGCTGGTCAGCCTGGTTTCAGAGTCTGTGCTCCTCACCAATATATCACCCCCTTTATGTAACACAGTCTATCTTTAGAAATCCAAAGAATCTGCCGTTGTATTTCCTATCATTCTCTCCTGCTCTTCTCTCGGTATGATTATTTTGTTCTTGCAGGAGTACACCCTGTATAAAGTGTTACCTACCAAAGATTGACCCCTTGTGTTCAAACTGCAAAGCTAATCGTGCATGTCTTTTAAAAATTATTGCTTCTCTATATGAATTTTTGTTAAAGTATTGCTTTGCTGTGGTAAACTATTTTCAAAATTCAAAAATTAAACTAAATCTTTAACATGGCCTGTCATCTCCAGGTCACAGTGAAAGTCAACAATGGCATCAGAGACTTTTCCACCTCAGTAACACCCAAGCAGAGTCTCTGTGACGGCAGATGGCACAGAATTACAGGTAGGAAAGCCTGAGCATGCTTGGTTTCTTTACAAGGGTGAGCCTGAGGCCTGGGGTGTAGCTCAGTAGTCACATGTTTGCTGGGGTGTGCAAAGCCCTGGGTTTGCTGCACTGCAATGCAAGTACAAAACAACAGTAGGTGGCCTCAATGCCCTCAGGGGGGATGGTGCCTGGGTAAGGCAACTGTAACAAGGACATTTTATGGAGCCAAACAGAGAGAAGCAAGTGTTATTGTACTAATGTGTATACTGGATCCATGTGTGATTAATTTAAAGCTATGATAGTGCCAGCTAGGTTAGCAATAGTTTATAGAATGTGTAGCTTATATAGCAAAAAAAAAAAACAAAGTTGCACTGTTTCTTAAAAATTCTCCATTTAAAAGGCAAATGTTACAATGATTGCTCAATTAGATACTGTCACACATTATTCATTTTTTTTCATTGATATAAAAGAGTACGGGGGTGAAGGGACGGCAGGGACAAGGGGAAAAAAATGAGAACCAAGACCTGTCATATAAAGGTAAAAGATCCCAATAATGAATGTAACTGTACTGTGTACCTAAAATGTACCAATAAACTCAATGAGAGAAAAAAAAAAGTACAGGTTTTATTCTGGGATAAATAAAAGCAATTTTGTTAAAAATTAGTCTCTTTTACATAAAAAAAATCAGTTCAGTGTGAGTTTACAGCTAGTCTTTCCTTGTATTTCAGTTATCAGAGACTCAAATGTGGTTCAGTTGGATGTGGACTCTGAAGTCAATCATGTGGTTGGACCCCTGAATCCCAAACCAGTTGATCACAGGGAGCCTGTGTTTGTTGGAGGTGTTCCAGGTAAGTGCCACTTAACAGGAATAAGTTTCCAAAGCTGCAGCAAATAACTGTTAGGTTATTGTGTTGGAGCCATGTTTTCATAATTCACCTAATAACTCAAAGGATTTCCTATGCAATGTCCTTTTATAGAAAAAGCACAGAAAATTTTTTTATCCAAGTATCATATCAAAGTAATACACACCAGCATTCTTGCCAGTAGATATTACTCCCATTTTGCCATATTTGCTTATTTTTTTAATATCTTCCTTTTACATATCCTCCATACACAGTGAAACACTATCTTTACCACAAAGAAAACTTGATACTCAGAACCTAGAGAAAAATAACGTTTTCTGATAATAGCAAAGAATCCACAGTTCCCCAGGCACAGACCATAACTTGGTTCCTATATATGACATTCCCTAAGAACTAATTCCTAAGTAGTGACATTTGCTAGGAGGACAATTACGGACCCCTCCCATAATTATCTTAAACCTCTAAAAGGGGGACTGTGTCTTTATGTTGAATGTCATGGTTTTTATACATTTCACTGACTTGGAAAAACTGAAAACTCTAGCTCAGGAGAGAAATATAAAAAGGAATATGTACACTTTTTGCATCTGGTAGAATTTGGTGGAGATTTTCGCAACCTCCTGGATTGATTTGGGCTGTCTTGTGTAAAAGCAGCTAGTGTTTTAATTAAGAGAATGAGAAAGCATAGATAAGAGTAAGAATCACATCTTGGGTCTTGGCAAAGTAGTAGCAACTGAATACCCCTCTCTTTTTAATATGTTTTCCCAATATCAGTATTAACAATGATAGTAACTCCAGGGCCAAAAGAAATACGGGAGACTTTCAAAAAGTAATTCTTCCTCCCTTTCACTTCCCCCACCACTCCCATTGCTGTTCCCCAGTCCTCTTCTGCTGCTCTTGGCTTTGGGTCTGAAAGGGAGTATGGCCTGGGCCACAGTACACTTCATGCAGGCACAGCATGGAAAGTTTCTCACATCATTTCTTACATTTCTGCACACTGCTTCCTTCCTAGAACTCCCAGCATGGTTTTACATATTGCACAGGCCCCAAGAGGTCCACTGAATCAAATTTAGCACAGCATGCAGCATCCTGGATCATCTGTTTCATCCTGCCGCTGCCGCTGAATCTCCCCAAACCTTCTGGGATTTGAAGTTCCTTCCATGTTTGGTGGTGTTTTCTTTGTTCCAGGCTTTTCTTTGCATGATTGCACAGGCTTCCATTTCTGGAAAATATTGTTCTCTCTTTTTCCCTGTAATATCTTTTCAAGGAACAACTTTTCCTACTCTTCACCTACCTAATTCCACATTGACAGCTAAGACTTAACTCTGAATTTCACTTATACTTTGTTTCCCCTTGGATGTGTATGCATACTTTTGTAGTGCTTATCACCAAATAGCATAGAAGCTAGAGTATACTCCTTCACACACACACACACACACACACACACACACACACACACACGAGTACACTCCTTGCTGACAAGAAACATGACTCTTTCGGCACTTTTGAGTGTCTACTAAGCACTGTGCTAAGCTTCCGGACATGGAGACAAAACAAGCATGGCCCTCCCTCAAAGTTGTTACAGTATTTGCTCTTTTCACCAAAAGTACTTACCACTTAATTCAAACAAATGTTTCCCTTTGACTTTTGTGTTTGTTTTTAGTCTGACCCTACACTCACATTAACCTGTTAACATTAACCTCCATAGCCTGAGTGGGCAAGATGTACCTATAACCAAATCCAGCCTTTATGAAACATACAATGAATACAAATTTTAGGGACTGAATGAGCACACAATAGTTAGCAGGCTAGAGAAGCCTAACTAGCAGCCCGCTGCACCACTGAAGATTGTAATTCCATCTAGGAATCATGCCCACAAACCCAGCACAAAAGCAACTGTAATGTGAGCTGAATGTACTTCATTATATTATTTTGAACTATTCAAGATTAATTCCAGGAAAATCACATTTGAAACAAAGGCATTAATAAGGATAACTAAAGAAATTGGGTGTAAGTACAACCCCTCTATACCTGAAATCTCTTGGAAGCCCTGCCACACTTACCCCTCAAAACTGTGTTACTACTATTACTAAAGTTCATTGAGCTGCCATACCAAAAAATGTTAGCTTTATTGTATGATAATTTAAAAATCAGAGTGTAATGTTAGAAAAAAATTCTAAATTAATGGAGCTCATTTGAAAAAAGAACCAACCAAAACCACAGCTTATGATGAGACAACTTCACTTAAAATAGAAGGGACAGTGTTCCATGTGTTTCTTAAAGTCAAAGTAAAAATCACATTAGACTCATTTAATCTTCAGCATCTGAAAATCCAGATGGCCCTGGTAGAACCCACAGCTACCAGGAATAAGCATTCCCAATGAGATTTCAAACATGGACACTAATGAACCAGAGGAAAAGAGGTAGCTTGAAAAGTCCTTTCGACAGCAAACTTCAAAGACTTATTTCCTTTAGAAGAACAAAGAACTTGAGAATAAAATTAATTAATTGATGGGGCTCACATATTAATTAATGGGGCTCACATTAATTAATGGGGCTCAAACCATACATTTCACCACTGAAAAGCCTGTTACTTTATATATAAGGAAGCCTTCAGCTGGGAAACAGTCTCTCTTAAAATCACGTTGCCTTTATTGACTTATGGTCCATAGGGCCGTTTTCTGTTACTACCTGTAATTTGTGAGATGAATTTTGCAGATGATAATTGCTGTATGAATGTTTTCCTGCAGCTGATTTCCTCCATGAACCAAAGGGTGGAAGGCTTGGGTAGAATGAACACCTATGTTCACGATCTAGTCTCTGGTGTGGCCAGAAGTATGAGGTGTTGCCACACCTCATTTATTTTTCTTTTTTGGTACTGGGGATTGAACTCACGTCCCTGAGCTTCTGAGGCAGGTGAAATCCCCGGCCCACTCATTTATTTTTATTCTCATGATGACACACTGAGCAGGCTTGAAGTATGCACAGTCAGACTAATCTAGAGACAAAGGAAACTGATCTCTCAGGCCTTCCCAAATCTAAAATTTGACTTATTATTATTATTCTAAAACAAAAGTGCTATTTATACAATTTCTCTTCAGTACACACCTTCACAGTTCTACTCTGTATTGCTTAGAAAATTACAGCTGCACATTGGTGTTTAATTTGCTGTCTTACATTATCTTCTTTCCTAACTTTCTAACTTCCATCTTTTATCACTTACTGCTCACATAGCTGTTGGTACATAATAAACTTTGACTAAATAGGTTTTAATTTCATAATATTTCTAAGCTCCCTATTTGCTTTAAATTACATTGCTTCTATCATCCTAACACATTTAATTGTGTCTGTACAATTAATACACATGTGGCTTCTTCTGGATGTCTAATTAAGATAAAGGGAGAATTTCCCCTGTCATACCACAGGGCACCTGTGCTCACACAAAGACATAGACTAGTTATCACTACCCTATTTATAGTTCTGAAACCCTGAGCTCAGAAAAATTATACTTTATTTTAACTCATTATTTTCTCATTATATCCCTCATAGGATATATGGCAAAAACATGGAGACTTAAGGGTAAAGTGCAATGATATGAATTAAACAGAAACATTAACTGTGTCCAAAAATAGTGTAGAAGCTAAAAAATCATTTCTCTTCTCAACAAAGCACAGAAAATACGTGAGGCTCAGGAGAATTAACTCTAAAAACCATAGGTAAATTATGAAAATGCACTGCTGTGGCTCTACATGTAAGTGATAAATTTCAGCTTTGGAAGACTGCTGTAATACACACAGAAATGTGATCATGAAAACATGCAAAACATTAAGATTAGAAAGCAGAGGATGTTCCTGAGAATTACCACTATATGGCACTGACAGCTCATAATCATTTTGATGTGAATGATTATTATGCATATTTAGTAGAAGATAGTATCTGAGCTTGGAAATGGCTCCCTTGTGACTTTTACTTTCATCTCTTCTTCTTCAGAGTCTCTGCTGACATCCCGCTTAGCCCCCAGCAAACCCTTCACAGGCTGCATCCGCCACTTTGTGATTGATGGGCATCCAGTGAGCTTCAATAAAGCAGCCTTGGTCAGTGGCGCGGTTAGCATCAATTCCTGCCCGGTAGCCTGAGGCAGCCTGAAGCACCCAGCATGCCACTGGAGTGGAGTTCTTCCAAGTCCTGAAAGTGGAGCTCTCTCCCACATGCCAGGGACTCGAAGCATTCATCACATTTCATCACTGTACCCCTCCTCCTCATTGGCATTCTTAACTTGGACCCACAGTGTCAGCAGTGGGGAAGGAACTTGTATCGATTCAGTCACTATGAGCTCTGCCAGTGAAACTGCCTGGCTCCAATAAAATAAGGAATTCTAAATAAACACTGGCACACATTTTTAAGTTCACTTACACGCTCAGATTCTTCTTTCAGGGGGTGAAAACTTTCAATCGATTTGAAAATATCTTTGTCCTAAACTACCTTTTTGTATTTTGAAAAGGCTTACTAATTTTCTAATTTATATATAATCTAAAATTAATGACATGTTTTTATCAGTTTTTGATACATCAGTATAGCAAGAGTATTTTAAATTTATACCAGCAGTCATCAAGGTTATTAGACTTCATAAAGATTATCAGAAAACTGCTAGTATAACTTAATCTTTTCTAACTAAGAACAAAGGAATCAAACTACTAATTCCTTAAAAGAAAGAAAATTGTACCTGGAGGGAAGTTCCTATAGGATATTATTATTATTATTATTTCTATTATTATGTGTTTATGGGAATCACCAAGATGCTTACAAGAGAAAAAGCAAAATCATAAAATTTAACTGAAAACCATGAATGTCTTTCTATTAAGATTTTCTGGAGTAGGGGTATACCTCCATGATAGAGCATTCACTGAGCATGCATAAGGCCCAAGGTTCAAACTCCAATGCCACCACAACCAAAAACAGTCATTCTCCTACATACCTGCAGCAGTACTAGTCTTATTTCTAAAATTTTATATTTTTCCTAGTATCCATATTAATTAATGCTAGAAAAAGAAAAATAAATACTGCAGATGGTAGAATATTAAAATATGGAAAATGAAATAAAAGAATTATACATGAGAAGATAATGAACTCTGAAGAAAGAATAAGAGAAAACAGGCCTTGATATCAGCAGGACAATAAAAACAAAATGAGTAACTATAGAGGGGATAGGGATAAAATATTTTGAGGAATTATCAGAGAAAATGAAACAACCTAATAATCCATTGCCTAGAAAGAGGTGTGTGTATGTTTATATGTATTTACATCCCCTTCTATCTTTCAATCTTGGGTGATAATGTTGAGACCATTAAAACAGTTGACAGCTATAAATACAAGACAGTAAGTACCAGCCACCATGAGAAGCTGAAGTTTACTATATCATTATTTTATCACAGTAATCCTGTGAGGGAGCATTGCAGCTCAGGTATTTTGTCTGCTGGGCAGACATCTCGACCTAGGAACCAGGATTCAAAGCCAGGATTCCTGTTTCTCTGGGCTGCCTGATGGTCCTTTGCTTCCTTGCCTCTGAAGACTGCCTGCCTCAGGCCGACCTCCTGAGCACTAATGCAGGAGCCACAGACCCAAATGCCCAGGACAGAGAGACTCCTGCACCGGGGAATCAAGCAGCGGTCCCTGGGGAAGACCAAGAGGGCACTTGTTGTCAGCTCATCCAGTTAGCACCATGAAAGAACTCAAGCCCAGAAGGGCCAGAGCTTCCAAAAGGTGAAGGAACTGCAAAATTGCAGTTTGAAATTGCCTGATTTTTCACCAACCACCTCCAAGGGAAAATACATGCAGACCAAACAACCTTCCAAGAGCTATGTGTGGCTTCTGGCCTAATGACTCTGAATCTAAGAGTTTGGGGCCATAACTAAAGCTTTCAAAACACACTGAATCCTCATTATGTATCCTCTATCAGATCCAAGCAATTGGAAGTGGCTCTAAAATAACCAACTACTTTTTTTATTCAAAAAATTGTCCTGCGACATCCCATAGGGCTATCTGATTCCCCTCATTCTCAGCAGGGACACAAAGCAACCTAAACCAGCCAAGTTGCAGAGCTGTCTGGACCTGCAGCAGCCCCAGGAGGCGTGCATACACTCACATGGCTGTGTTCTAACTTCTCCCATTTCCTAGGCCACCTCTTTGCAGTTAATACTGCACATTTTTATGCTTGGAATGGACTATGTCCTGAGCCACACACATCATAAAACCAACACAATGATGTTCCCAAACTCTGAATTTACCATTTATAAGAGCTGGAATGTGTTATCGGATGAGACTTCCTCCTCCCAGCTCCTAAGGAGAAAGCAGTAGGATTTTCTGTTAGGTGAGCATTGCATGAGTACACCATCTAGAGAAATAGGAGTTAAGTGCTCACAGTAATTCTGAACAACTGCTCTGTCAGTTCAGAGTCACTTCAAAATGAGCAGGGCCTTTCACAGCCCTTGTATGAAGGAGAAGCCCTATTTGGGCACATGTTGCAGCTCCCATCTTGTAGCCATAACTGACTGGACAAGAAGAACATTATTCTGTAGCAGCAGTGGTGAACCCATGGCACACAAGCCGCAGCAAGCTGTTTGTATCATTGAGAGGTCTACAAGGTGGGTGTCATTGTTCTAAAGCTTTCCAGTAAAGCAACATCCCACTACCTGGTATGAATGGATAAGAATGAACAAGTGGGTATTTTCCCTTGAACATCTGAATTGAGAAACATAAAATCAAGCACTTAGCAGTAGAAGCCAGTGCCATAAGAATATATGATGTTAAATGATTTCTACACAGATTTACAGATACATTAAAAGAAATAAAAGACAAAAATCCTGGCATTTCCATTTGGTAAACCTAGGATGGTACATCCACCTATCCTTTTTGTCCAATACTAATCATCTCAGGTCTCAGCCAAGAACTAAAGGAGGAATCTCAAAAAGACACTGGAGTGCATTTTTTCTGGTCCCTTGTTTTCTTGTATTTAACACAACAGCAAAGGGTTATCAAGAGAAACTTTCTTTCTAAGTCCATAAAACAATAAATATATCACATTTTATTCACCGAATTGTGAAGTGTGGTGCCTATCCATGCATTCTCTTTCAGGACTACTATATTATCAGTACAAAATCACAAAGCTCCCTAACACCACACACACACACACACACACACACACACACACACACGCGCTTATCTAAAGGGTCCAGAGAGGCAACTGAATTGTAAGCTACCTGAATTTTTACCTGTGTTATTCACAAATGTGCTGCAAGTGCCTAGAAGAGTGTCTGGCATGAAGATATATGCTTAATAAGTATTTATTGAATGCATTTCAGGAAAGCAGTGTTTCTGTATGGTTATTACCCATACCTCACCTCCGAAGGCACAATCATTTTGCAAAGTTCCTAGGAGTCAAAAAGAAGGAAACAGAGCATTTATTCTATACTTGGGTTTTACTGAGACCTAGAGATCTTTGACTTACCTGAGGGTGTAGGGAGAAGACTGAAGGAACAATGGCACAGCCCATCAAGACAGACAAGAAGTACTCCCTCAAGTCTCTTTTTTGTTTTGGTTTGAGACAGGGTCTCACTATGTAGTTGAGACTGACTTGGAACTCACTATGTAGCCCAGGCTGGTCTCGAACTCACAGAAATCCTCCTGCCTCTGCCTCCCAAGTGCTGGTATCACAGGTGTGCACCACCATGCCCGGCTTCCCTCAAGTCTTTGACAACCTGTCAAGATATGAAATGTAGGGAGAAGTTTGGCTGCCCTGTATAAGCCCACCTACTTTATGAAACTCACAGCACCAGGGAACACCATTATCAGAAGAGACTGCTAGAGGACAAGCTGTGTGGGTAGTGAGCAGAAAAGACTGAGGGAATACAGCCTGACAAAACGCAGAACCATGGGAAAGAGAAGCACAGACAAAGGTACTGCAGAGTGACACTACCAGGCACTTGAATCTACAGCACAAGAATTTCTAAAGTACACTGATAATGGCTGCTGAGGATTGAGTCACTCACCAAGCCAGCTACAATATACCAACCTTAGAATGAGCTAAACCAACATCATCATCGACAGAATATATTTTCAAAATACTAAATGGCTAAAGACTTTTGATTAAGGAACTGATGTCAACCTGGAAAATGGCTATGAAAATACCATGCCATAGTTTTCCTGGATCTGGAATATTCCCTAACAGAAGGTTACCCAAGGAATATAAGGGAATGTGGTTGAGAAAAATGGACTTTACAGATATTTACAGAGTGGCTCATCTGACAACAGCAGGAAACACATTCTCAGTAAAGCACAAAATTTTCTCCACAATAGATAAGGTCTGTCTTAGGCTATAAAGCATGTTTAAATAGAAATTAAGTGAAACAATGTCTTTCATCCTATTTGATAACAGAAACTAAAAATTAAGACCAAAAGAAACTACAGAAATTATATAAACATATAGAGATTAAATAATATATTCACTAGGAGCTAAATGTAGACAAGGAAATGGAATTGTATTCAACTCAAAAGTCAAGTCTTTTGGAGAAGACATTATCATTGGATGATGGTGGCATCCAAGAAGAGAAAAAGGAAGACAGGTCGAGTCCTGGGGACTATTTCAAGAACAAAAAGAGAACATACAGAGGTAGGCCTAGACCTCAAAATGACTCTTAAGTCGAATCATGTAAAAAGATCCACATGAGGCTTTAAAACATTGATTATAAGTAACTTCAAGATGATTGGCTGGGACCGGAGGTGCAAGTGACAATGGGACAAACTTTTAGAGAAATGGGGTTCTACACTGCCTTGACCTCACTATCAATACATTTAACCAATAACCTGATGGAAGTGGTTCACACGCTCTGCAGATTAACCGTAACTAATTTTTGGATATACTCCCAAAATGCACAGAGGCCTATTGCTTACCCAATATAATTATTCCATGGCAGAACATTATCAAGAGATATCAAGTCAAAAGCTAGTTGCGGGGGCCAGGGATTCAGCTCAGTGACACCATACCTCCTTTGCAAGCGCAAGGTCCTGAGTTCAATTCTGGTACCAAGAAAAAAAAAAAACTAGTTGGGGGCATTTAAATGAAGATATTCAGCTAATTATCAAACCAAATATAAGCAAGAGCAGCTAAATGAAAACACACCAAGTATTTAGAATAGGCCGTGTCTTAGTCACTGTCCTCATCACTGGACACAACACCCAACACACACAGCTTAGAGCAAAGTTTATTATGGCTCACACTTTCAGTCCAGTCACTGGCTGCAAAGCAAGGTGATATGGCACAGAGGCAGAGTGGAGGAAAAGTTGTTCACATCATGGCACCCAGGAAGCAGAGTCTGAAGTAAAAAGCAGGGAAGGGGATAACATATCCTTCCAGGCCATACCCACATACCACCCGCTTTTTCTGACCAGATCCTACCTCCTAAGATCACATGTAGGTATAAAGCCTCTATGAGGTGCTATAAAAGGCTTTCAAAAGACTTGTCTGTGACTGCATGTTTCTTTGGGGGGTAACATCTACAAATAAACTATAGTAACAAGACGGCGGGAAACTTGGAACTGGGAACAAGATGGTGGGACAGGATTCTGTAGTGATCATCTTTCCTATGGAAAGTTGATTTGAGCTACTATGAACACATGAAATGTAATCTTCACAAAACCTAAAAAATCAGGTCAGAGATCCTACTTTTTACATAAGAAAAGATACATTTCAGAAAGTGGAAGAACAGATTTTCACTATTTGTGTTACTGCTTCCAAACCCATGTAGCATGATGTATAGAGAAACACCATCCCTTGGAGCAGAGGAAAGTAAGCATAGGGCTTAGCCTTTAAATACAGTACCAGACCACCACAATAAAACTTAGCACCAAGGAGATCCTCTTGGTACATGAGGCTTTCCCACAACTCCAGCAGGATGAGCTCCTATTCTGGCCAACATCAACATTAGCCAACACAGTGACCTTAGGTCCTAAGGAAACCTCAGCAGTAGGTTAGGCTATCAGGACCACACACTTGGAATTGGATGGCCAGGCAGCTATGGTCTTTGCCTGCGACCAACCACTGCATTAAACCTTGGCAGCCAAAAGCTTCTGCTGTAAAGAGTTGTGGGCTTAAGGTACCCTCTAACACTGCAATGGAGAAAGTATTCACAGGCCCAGGGACAATTTACACTGAAACTATGGACAGGCTTATTTCTGTAGGAAACTCCTAAACACAGTAGGCTAGGAAGACTGGATTGAGTACCTATGTCAATGTGTAGACATCAACTCATGGCCACAAAAGTCAGGAACGATCAGTAGAATATGATGTTATCAAATGGACAGAATAAGGTATCAATGATGAATTATAAAGACACAGAGATAGTATAATAGCCTGACACAGAATTCTAATTAGCTGTTGTAACAAAGCTCAGTGAATATCAAGGAAATATAGAGTCTTTGTAAATAGAGAAGGGTGGAAGAGGTGAAGGGAGGGCAGGGGTATAGGGAAAAAAATAAGAACCAACATACATCATGTAAAGGTACAAGATCCCAATGATGAATGTAACTGTACTGCATACCTAAAATGTACTGATAAATTCAATGAAAAAAAAAGAAATTAGAGAGAAATAATTCAGAAATTCATCAGAGAAATTTAACAGAAGGATTGAAATGATTTAAAATCAAGTACACTAGGTCCTGGCCAACTAATAGCCATGGTGGATTTAAGCGTCATCTTCAATTGCTGAGCAAGATGATCTCTAAGGCATTTTCTAGTCAAGAAATATTATTGTGACCCATCTATCAGATATAGCAGATGGCTGATCCCCATATGTTTTACTGACTCTCTGTCTTCTTGACTTAAATAACAATTCTTGTTATCATCCAACAGTGCCACCACTTTTATTTGTTTACCAGATCATGAGATGATTCTGGCCCATTACCCTTGACCTAGTCAACCTCCATCACACTTAATGATGCTATTTAGGAGGAATTTCCCTGCTGCTTGGTGCAGGTGGCTTTTGCATTGTTGCATAGACAGTGATGGGAACATCAGTTATTGTCAGGCAATGATTTGCAGGGCATCTTCGGAGCTGCCTGAATGAAGGAGCAAATGACATGTGGTTAAGATACTAAAATGGAAATCTTTTTTAAACACCAGAGTTTGAGTACATATTTAGGTTTTTAAAAATCATTTGTAGTCTTTCAATGACATAAAATAACATAACACAGAGGTGCTTGTTAGGTAGACATTTTAGACATATGTAAGAAATTATGGCAATGGCCATTGCCATAATTTAATTACATTAAATTCATAAATATAAAAATATTCTTCTAAATGTTCATTTTGTAAAGTATGTGGTAATTGGTAAATGGCAATAAAACTCATAGTTATGACCAGAAGTGATAATTCATTTGTATATGCACCTTTAAAAATCATTTCATTGGAGTGATTTGAAAACCAGAGTATCTCTACAAAAAAAAAAAAAGCACTTTTTTTTTTTTTGAGACAGGGTCTCACTATGTAGTTGAGACTGACCTGGAACTCACTATGTAGCCCAGGCTGGTCTCGAACTCACAGCAATCCTCCTGCCTCAGCCTCCCGAGTGCTGGGATTATAGGCATGTGCCACCACACCCAGCCTGTACCATTTTAAATAAATTCAAATGCAGATGGATTATCAGATTTGAAACAACTGTTAAATGACATCTAGTCCAAAACTTCTTTCTGAATTACCTGTCCAACATTCTTATCAAATACTCACACAGGTTTGAATGTCTCTAACAAGAAGGAGCTCATTACTTTCCAAACTAGCATATGTCATCCTGGAATAACTTTAATTGTTAAAGTATCTACCTTATTAAGATTAAATCTGTCTCCCAAAAATTTCTAAGGTGTAAGATATAATAATACAGTATTTACAATTTTGCTACAGCAAACAGAAGAAAAATGGAACAAATGCCATTTGTTATAGTTTTCTTCAATTTTGCAATACTGATTTCATTCATGGAATCTTCATACCGTTTTTGCTCTCTTTCTGCCATAGGTTTGCTCAAAGACACTACATATGAGTTCCAACTCGTTCTCCTTCCTGCAGCCTTATACCTACAGCAGCACAGAGCCCTGCACATACTAGCACTGGGCGTTTGTTTACTTGAGAGCCATGTCTAACTTGGAAACTACTAACAAAACAGGACAGCTAAAACTTTACTGAATAGAACTGGTACATCAACAAGACTCACAAATAGTAAATACAGACTCATATAAATTTTACATAATCCTGAGCTCTGTTAATACTAGTTTAATAGCAGCAATGTCTGCATTCCTGGACTTTTTTTTTTTTTTGCTAAGAGTCTATGTCAGTGAAATAGTGAGTGCTTGTACTGATGACAGCCAACACACGTTTCCTCAGTTATCAGATAAGAAGACTTCACCTGTTTGGTGATATCTCATTCCTGTTACAGACAGCATTGGCGTTGAGCCCAGATTCTCGCCCAACTGAAGAATCTCCTCCTTCCACTGGAAACCTCCTTGGCTGAGTTCCAAACCGTAAAACCATAATTCACTGAAAACCTACATAAGATAGAATGTGTGTGTGGGGGGGTATCTTCAAAGTTATTTGAAATTTTTAATGTTAATATTTTTAGAAGCATAAAAAATACTATGTAAGCATTTAAAAACTCTATAAAAGTGTAAAATACATTTTTTTTGTTTTTGTTTTTGTTTTTTTGAGACAGGGTCTCACTATGTAGTTGAGACTGACCTGGAACTCACTATGTAGACCGGGTTGGTGTCAAATTCACAGCGATCCTCCTGTCTCAGCCTCCCAAGTGCTGAGATCACAGGCATGCGCCACCACACCCAGCAAGTGTAAAATACTATAGTATGCAACTACCTGTTATGTTCAAATTTAAGTCTTGTAACAAAGGCATGATAGCCACCACATGCTAAAAGTAATGTGCCCTTGGGATAGCATAACTGGAAAACAGTCAACTTTAAGGGACTTCAAGTCCACTTCTGTGAAAAAAAAAAAAAAAAAGCACTGTTTGCCTTTAAATTATTTCTCATGGGTAAGCTAAAATAGTATTAACCACTTCTAGAATAATAGTGAGGATTAACTAAGATAATATGAAGGGTGATGCTTCACACATAGTAAGTGCTCAATCCATGTTACCTATTATTCAGCAAATGGTACAGAACATTAAATATATATTAGTATGTACATATTTGAAATACATATTATGGATACACACATCCACTCACTGCTTACTGCTGCCTCTGCCTAGAATTTTTCCCCTACCCATTTGCCCCCACCCTTCTCTTGCTAGGGCCAACTCATCTACTAAATCTGAATTTACATTCCAATATTTTAGAGAAACCTTTCATAAGCCTTATGACCTAAGTTTCATTGGCACCCTTTATTTCTATTCTCTAATAGTTAATGACATTCTTATTCAGGATTTCTCAAAAATGACACTACTGACATTTGGGATCAGATGATCCTGGAGAAAATAGGATGCATTGCAGATGTCCTATAGCATTCATCCAGCACATGCCAACTGCATCTCTCTCCCAGGTGCGACAATAAAAGTTCTTTCCATTATTGCCAAATCTTCTCTTGCAGAGTAAGTTTTTGTTTGAGATCCCCTTTCCATTTCTTTGTTACCACTGAATTCTTAGTATATAGTAGAGTTTTCAGGCACACAGTGGACATTTAGTAACTTATCTTCAATGAATTTGTATATCTTCAACATTAGCCCACAAAGGTTAAGAAAAATGAAAAGTATCTTAAAACTGTTCCTATGCCTAGCACAGTATTCTATGCCTACTAAATAAATATTTATTGGTGATAACGAACTAAATTCTTAAGGTTTTGGTTACGTAATGATTTTTATAGTTGGGGTGTTAATTTTCAAGAAAAAGTGTTCTGCTCATTGATGACTTCATAAAACCACGGTAAACTGTATGGATTACTATAATTATCTTCTGCTGTAGGGACTATTAGCTAACTTTATCAAGGAAGCACAGACTTACCAAAATAGGCTGAGTCTGATTCCTGTAGAGGTGAATAAATAAATTGCTTCTACTGACCTTGCATAGAAAGCTGGAATTGCCAAAGGAATGATGATCAAATGTTCCAGTGACACCCAGAAATTATGACATCAGAAGATTCTTTTACATGGTTTCCTGCCTGCTAAAAGAATCAAATGTCTCAATTTATGAATCCAGCAACAAGCTGAAATTTGGATGAGAATCAAGTACTATAAAAATGTTTTGTTTTATTATTATTGACACTGCCTTCTATCTATGGCCACACCACCTAGTATGCGCCTGATGTTGTCTGATCTCAGGAGGCTAAGCAGGGTCAGGCCCAGTTAATACTTGGATGGGAGACACTGCCTTATTGTCCAACAATAAACATATGAACCTCTGAATGAAGATCTACAGTCTAATCAATCTACACAGAATTGCACGTGTCACTTTTCTGACTTTATACCCATCCTTATTCTCTTTATCTCCCAGACCTTCCCCTAATAATCCCAATTATTCGAGCCTATCTACTACATCCTTATCTCACTCCAATACCCTAAAACACATACCAAGTTTTCTTATACCTATATCTACATGGGATTCTTCACACCCTGGACTCTCTTTCTCCTATTGCCTTGATACCTCTTCTTTCCTGTTTCCTTAAAACCTTAAAATTTCCATAAGGCAGGAATAATCGCAGCTGAAAGAAGAAGAATATATACCACACTGTCTCTGTTATCCTGAGCGTCTTCTCCATTCATGCCATCTTTGCATTTCTGTGGACTGCTCTCCCTTTTCCAACCAGTTCTTGTCTTCTGTATCAAGCTCACCTCACAGAATGTCTGTCCTACTCAGTAGTGCTTAAGTATAACCCTTAAGACGACAAATGAACATTACTCTTCATTTGACCAATGTTATGGTTCATATGTAGATGTCCCCCCAAAGCCTCATGTGCTTATAAACCAGGCGATTCAGAACTGGCTGGAATGTGACACTGAGGTTAAGGATGTATGGTATTAAATCAGTCCACTGAATGAAATTAGCATAGTTCTGGGTGTGAATAATGGGAAGGTCCACCCTGAAGGTGGATGGCACCACTCAAAAAAAGGCTTAGAGCCTGGATGAAATAAAAGGGTAAAGGGAACTTGCTTCACTGCTACTTCACCTACTGCTTGCTGCTTCCTTCCTGCTCTGTTATGGGTTCTTTCTCCTCTGTGATGCCCCTCTTCCATGCCACCCTTCCTTGCAGCCAGGCAATTATGAACTGAAACCTCTACAACTGTGAGCCAAATTTAAACCTTTCCTCCTTTAACTTGTGAGTGTCAAGTATTTTGTCTCAGCAAGGAGAAGAATAACTAAGCCAACGAATTTTTCAGTTTTAACAGCTATTAACTAATTCCTACATGCTCGGAAATATTTTTAATGATCAAAATCTTTTATTACTACCTACATACTATGCTGCATTCCTACTGTTGTGTTTCATGGCTTATGTGGTAGAAAATGGGCATTTTACAAGAGAATTAAATTTATGTTAGATAAAATTTTACCTCTACCTTCTTTTGCTTACTAAGGTGCTATCTTTGAAAAAGTTGATCACCACACTACCTTACAGAAATCTATGATCAACTTACTATGTCACAGAGAAAGTAAAATAATTGCTAGCCATTGTTAGCTACTTCATCATTAGAACCTAAACATCTGCTCCTTCAAATGGCAACTTTTTTAATATTACATTTGGGTGGGGTACCGGGGATTGAATTTGTGTCCCTGCGCTTGCAAGGCAAGTCACCGAACCGCTGAGCTAAATCCCTGGCCCTTTAATATTACATTTTAAAAGGAGGTGGCAGTGGGAAAACGATGAGTCTTTGCATAAGAATTTGATGTGATGTTGACGCCATGGTAGTCTCTGAAATTCTGAGCAAGTCTCTAAGAGTTTATATGGAAAACTACAAAGTAAAATATGTTGCAGTCAGATAGTCTTTAATTCATCTAACTTTGCACTATTTTTAACTAGTTCATTTGGCATAAATTCTGCCAAGTCTCTCATATGGGTAATATAATGAGAACAAACAGTGGTCTTAATGATGAAACTTCACGGTAACAGAGTAATATATCAGAAGACAAAATGAACTTGACTCTACAGCAGAACAATAAAAAGCAATGGATAAAATAAACAGAAATAGTGTATTTAAAAGCTGATGAAATCTCTACTCATTATTAAAAGCACAAAAATAATCTTTTAATCCTAAGGATGCAAATTCATGAGATACAGAAAAGAAGTAATGTTTGAACTCATCATATCCTAAAAAAGCAGACCCATTTATTAAAGAAATTATTTTCTAAGAATCCACCATGAACCATATGTAAGTGTTAAAAGACTGAATAAATATAAGTACAGTTCCACCTCTGGTGGAGTTTATAGGTTAGGGCTGAATATATTCTATATTAGAATATCAAATCTAAATGTAAGGATGAGTAAGCATTAACTTGATTAAAATTAGTGGGAGGCAAAAAATGAGATGGGGATGAGACAAACAGAAACAGTATGTACAAGAATGTCAAGTGCTAGTAGACAGAACAATGCAATATCCGAATGCTAGCATAAACACTGTGTAGAAAATAAAAAGAAATACAGTCTAAGATATAAGCACAGGCCAAACCATGAAGGAGCATGAACCTAAGATTAACATTTTAGGCGTTATGAGCAAGAGATCCTGCCAACAAAAGACTTTACTATCTCAGGATATACAATTAGGTTTCATTGATTTTTCTGTTACTTTTCTGACTTCTGTATGCAGTATTTGATCACTCCAATCTTTAATATTTCCTTTCCTCTACTTACCTCAGTTTTAATTTTTTTTTCTAGTTTTGTTCTTCATTTGTTTTTCTTTGTGATACTGAGAATCAAATCCAGGACCTCACATTATAGGCAGAAATTCTACCACTAATCTGTACCTCTAGCTATTTTCAACTGTCTTAAGGTGGAAATTTATAGACTTGAGACTTTTTCCTTTTATAATAATTGAATTCTGTAAATTTGCATCAAAGCAATACTTTACCTGACTTCCACAAATTTTGAAATTTTGTACTTTAATTTCTTTCAAATTTCTCTTTTTAAAAATAGAAATGTATACACAAATATTTTACACTTGATCTTAGCTAAAAGGCCGAGAAGCAATACAAAAAATAATTTAAATTTTTTCCTTTTGCTTGCTTCCCTGGACTTAAAAATTAGTTATATTGTTTAATCTTTAAATATTTGGAAATATTTCATTTCTGTTACTTATTTCTAATTCATTCTATTTCTGTCAGAGAACTTTCTTTGTAGGCTCTGAATCATTTTAGTTTGATTGAGACTTGTTTTTATGGCTAGGATGTAGATTACCATAGCAAATGTTCTATGTACACTGGAAAAGGATGTGTCTCAAGAAATAAAAGCAGCAAGTAAATATATGAAAAAATGTTCCACATCACAGGTCATTCGAGAGATGCAGATGAAAACAACACTGAAATTTCACCTCACCCCACAAAGAATGGCTGCTATCAAGAAATCACACAATAACAAATGTTGGCATGGTTGTGGGAAGAAAGGAACCCTTCTCCATTGTTGGTGGGAGTACAGACTGGTGCAACCACTATGGAAGTCAATATGGAGATACCTCAAAGAGCTGGGTGGGATTAGAGGTTCCATTTGACCCAGCCATCCCTCTGCTGGGTATCTATCCAAAAGAAGTGAAAGAATCATACCACAGTGATATATGCGCACCCATGTTTATAGTGGCACAGTTTGTAATAGCTAAAACTTGGAAACAGCCCGTCTGCCCATCAACTGGAAACTGGATAAAGAAGATGTGGTTTTTCTCTAAAATGGAATGCTCAGCCATAAAGAATGAGAAAATAGATTCATTCATAGTCAAATGGGTACATTTTGAGGATATACTTCTAAGCGAAATAAATAAGGCACACATATGCAAATACCGAATAGTATCTCTGGTGTGAAAAACTATAATAGTACTCAAGATCCTAATGGGACACTTAGCAAATAGGAAGAAAAGGACCAAAGGTGTAGGGACAGTGAGAAGGATAGGGAAGGGGGAATAAGGGAAAAGGAAAAAAAATATGAGAAAATGTAAAAGTGGAATTAAAGCGTTTGAACGGGGGAGGGGAGGGGAGGGTGAAGGGAGGGTGGGGACAAGAGGAAAAAATGAGAACCAAGACCTGGCATGTACAGGTACAAGATCCCAGTAATGAATGTAACTATACTGTCTACCTAGAATGCACCAATAAATTAAATTAAAAAAAAAAAGGATGTGTCTCTTCCTATTGTGAGGTATGTTTTATATAGATAATCAGCTGGTTGACAATTCAATTTTTCTATATTCTTATTTTCTTTATACTTGTCCATTATTGAAATAGGGGGTATTGAAATCACCAACTATAACTGTTAATTTTTCTTATTCTGCAAGTTTTTGCTTTATCTACCCTGAAGTTTTTATTACATTCACATTTAATATTTTATATACTCTTGATGAATTCAGACCTTTATCATGAAGTATCTTTCTCCCTGACAATTCTGATCTGAATTTTTACTATTGCTTAATGTTAAAATGGCATCTCTTTTCTTATTCTCTTCATTAGACCTACTGTATCTGTTTTTTGTATTCAAAGTAAGTTCTTATAAACAACATACAGTTAAGTCTTGCTTATTTTATCCACTCTGATGATCTTTGTCATTTAAATTGTGGTGTCTCAATTATTTAAACAATGTGGCAAGTTTGGATTTAAATTTGCAATCTTTTTATTTGAATTATATAATCCTGTTTTGTTCCCTTTTTTGTTACTCTGTTCTTTGGGACTGACTGAGCATACTTTAATTATTTTAAACCCATGTGTGGTTTACTTCTGTATATCCTTGTGCTTCATTTTTAGTTTATGATTTACATGCGGTGGTGGTAAACCTATGAGATGTGTGCAGCAGTGGGTTATTATCATGAAAAGCTCTAAAGAATTTGCTATCAATGGCATATATATATTTTAAAGTTTTTATACTCTGCTTTCAATAACATTATACTACCTCACACGTACTAAAAGAACCAGAGCATATCCCATGGTCCCTCTCTTGCCATTTATTAATGTCATATATTTCACTTCTACCTATACTAAGTATTCTATCATGTATTAGTTTTTCTAAAAGAAATTATCTTCTAAGAGATTTTTAAAAGAAGCATTTTATATTTACCTACATATTTGTTTCTAATATTCACTATTCCCTTGAGTAGACCCAGGTTTTCATCCAACATCATTTCCTTTTTGCCTGAGGATTTTCATTAAATAGTGTTGATCGTCATCTTTTGTATTGCTTTCTTTCACTTTCATTTTTTAATGTCATTTCAGCATAGAAAACTAAGTCAAAACTTTTATTTGTTTTGGTTTTTTAAAGTACTTTCCAAATTTTGCTCCATTATATCCTGGCTCATAACTGTTTCCAATGAGAAGTCTGCGGTTACTCTTATCTTTTCCCCATATGTTGTGTGGCTTTTCTCTCTGGCTGCTTTTAAGATTTGTTCTTGGGTCAGGGATTTAGCTCAGTGGTTTGGTGGCCTGCCTTGCAAGTGCAAAGACCTGAGTTAAATACCTGGTACAAAAAAAAAAAAAAGATTTGTTCTTTATCTTTCATATTAAACAATTGCATCAGAATGTGCTTGGTATAGCTTTCTTCTCTCTCACTTTTTTTTTTTTTTTGTACTGGGGATCAAACTTGGGTCCTTGTGCTCGTAAGGCAGGCAGAGGAACAACTGAGCTAAAACCCCAAGCCCATCTTCTTGTTCTTTTATTAAATATTCACTGAGCTTCTTGAATCTGTGGGTCATAAT